TAGAGGGCGGGGGGGGGAGAAATATGTAGAGGGTGGGGGGGGGCTCAGCAGGGAAGGGTGCTTGTGGTGAAGTCTGATCACCCAGAGCCCCACACCTGGAAAGAACGGGCTCCCAAAAGGTGCTCTTTGAACTCCACACGTCCCCCACACAGAACACACGAAATAAATTTAAAACTTGGGGGAGGGCGAGTGCCCCCCCCACAATGAGGTAAGAAGGCTGTCGTGGGGCTGGAGAGATGGCTCAGCGGTTATGAACACTGGTTGTTCTTGCAGAAGACCCGGGTTCGAGTCCCAGCACCCACACGGCAGCTAACAACTGTCCGTAACTCCAGTCCCAGGGGATCCGACAGCCTCATCTGTCCTCCTCGGGCACTGCACTACACGGGTGCACTCACATGCAGGCAGTACACGCATACACATTAAAAAGAAAAAAGGCCGTCGTGAAGGAGAGTCTAAAGCTCCTGGTTTTCTAGTCTCAACCCTTCGCTGTGTGCCGGCACCCCACGGTGGACGTGCGAGGGCCGGCCTCTGACCGCTGAAGCAGCAAGACCCGTTTTGAATTCCCACGTGACTCCACTGAGTCCGGGATAGTGGGGTGAGGGTTCCTTTCTATTCCATTACTTGTTAGTGCAGCAGGAAGTAGACGTTGACTAGTCAGTGACTGCGTTTGTCACACTGACCCACTCAGGAAAAGTGAATCTTTAAAAATTTGTTTCTTGTAACCAGAAACTTTTTCCACTCTTTTTTTTTTGTTTAAAATTATAGCAAATCATTCTATTATGTTTTTTAGTATGGAAATTATATTGCTATACATAAAGTATGGTTTAAAAAAACCATGAAACAAGCCAGGCTTGGTGGCGCACGCCTTTAGTTCCAGCACTTGGGAGGCAGAGGCAGGTTGATCTGATCCTTAAGGCCAGCCTGGTCTACATAGTGAGTTCCAGGACAGCTGGGGCTACAGGGAGACCATCTCAAAAAGACAAAAAAAAGTGAATTTAAAAAAAAATTACAAAAGTTTTTGGACTTATTTATATATAAACATTTTTATTTTTATGTCTTAAAAATATTTTATATGTATGGATGTATTGCTTGCATGTAGGTAGGTACACCTGCCGTCGTACAGTGCTTGAGGAGGTCAGAAGAGGGTGTTGGATTCCCTGGAACTGGAATTTCGAGTGGTTGTTAGCCACCATTGTGGGTGCTGGGAATTGAAGCCAGGTTCTCTGCAAGAACAGCCAGTGCTCTTAACCACTAAGCCATCTCTCCAGCCCCATATTTCTTTTTAAGACAGGGTCTCCCTGCAGCCCCAGCTGTCCTAGAACTCACTATGTAGACCAGGCTGGCCTTGAACTCACAAGAGATCCGCCTGCCTCTGCCTCCCAAGTGCTGGGTTTAAAGGTGTGCGCCACCACGCCTGTCTTTATTTTTTTATTTTATGTGTATGAGTATTTTGCCTGCATGTATGTAAGTGCACCACATGCATGCAATACCAGCAGAGGACAGAAGAGGGTGTTGGATCCCCTGGAACTAGAGCTACAGACTGCTGTTAGTTGTCATGTGGGTGTTGGGAATCGAACTTGGGTCCTCTGAAAAATAGCAAGTGTTCTTAACTGCTGAGCCATCTCTCCAGCTCCCATAAAACATTTTAGAACAAAATGGAAAATGCCAGCCTGCCAGGAGCCTCCCCAGGGTCCATCCTTCAGTGCAGCATCATTAGAAATTTCATTGTTTCTTCTGTGACCAGGCTTCATTCCCGTTTTCTGTGAGCCTTTGCATTTTCTAACTCCCCTTGGGGGTCCCTGGAAGGGACCAATACTAAGTATTCAAAGTCCTGACACATTTACAAACGGAGGCGGTCCAGCCTCATGTTCACACTGTTGTCAGGGCTCATGCAACTCCCTCGTCCCTCCCCCTCGTCCCCCTTTCCATCCATAGCACTGCCCTCTTTCCCTGTAGTCTACCATCTCCCCTCCCTTTTCCTGGCTTGTACAGGCACCTCATGTTGGACACACCACAGTGAAGGGCTGAAGGGCTGGAGGTGTCATACCCTCCCCAATGCCATGTAAAGAGCTGTAAGCTCAGTGACGGGCAGAGCAGGAAGGTCCTGAGGGCACTTAAGGAAACCACCCCAGCCGCAATGGCAAACTTCAGGTTCAGTGAGGAATTGTCTTAAGGCCGTAGGGCTGAGAGTGGGAGATGTGAGATGGGCTTGACCAGAGTCTAGAGCTAAACTGCTAAGCCCAGTGTGACTCTCACTGCTCCGTATGTGCCACCAACCCTGTCTCAATCACTATTTGGCCCTGACCTGCCAACTCCACATCACAGAGATGCTTAAGGCTTCTTGAAAGTGAATCTTTTGCCTTTAATCCCAGCACTTAGGAGACAAAGACAGATCTGTGTGAGTTCAAGGCCAGTGAGACCCTGAATGGTGAATGAAACGAGGAAAGGAGAAGCAAAGGAAGAGGAAAAAGTCTTTCAGATCCTTGTGGGTAGAGATTCTATCCATTTCCTCGTTTCACTTTTGTGGCTGAGTAATATTCCATTGTGCCTGAGCCACGTCTTCATTACCCAGTCATCAGTTGTTGGGCATCTAGACTGCCTCCATTTTCTAGCTAATGTGACCTCTGAACGGATTCAAGACCCGCTCCATCGAGTTCGGGAGATGCCAACACCTGGTATGGTAAGCCTGGCTAACAGTCCAGGTCTGGAAGGCAGCAGGCCCATGTGGGGACATATTTCTGCAGCTTATTAAACTTGTAACCAAAACCATTTAAAAACTAAATTTCAGGTGGACGTGTTTCAGACACTGTGTGGTCGACAGTGAGCACATTAACTTGTCTGGAGACATTTCATCAACAGGGGGCTCAGGCTGGCTTTTTTTTTTTTTTTTAAAGTTAGAGGTCTCACGTGTCCTGGGCTGGCCTAGAGCGCCCTATGAAGATGAAGATGACCTTAAAATTCTGATCCTCCACCTCCCAAGCGATGGCATTGTAGGCAAGTGCCACAATGCCCCTTTTTAAAAAAATCATTTTATGTTTTGTATGTATGTAAGTGCATCTGTATCCTGCAATGCCTTATGGGTATCAGATCCCATGGAACTGGAGTTACAGTCAGTTGTCATCTGCCATGTGGGTGCTGGGAACTGAACCTGGGTCCTCTGCAAGAGCAGCCAGTGCTCTTAACCACTGAGTCACCTCTCTAGCGGCAACATTGCCCAGTGTCATGTGGTTTGAGGAATGAAAGCTAGGGCTTTGTGAGTGCTAGGAGGGCAAGCTCTGTCAACTGAGCCACACCCACCGCCTGGACACTGTTGAAGTAACCTGGTCAGCTGCTCTACCTGTTCCAGACACTCAATCAAGTGCACACAAGGGTAATGTAGACTCTTTATTGATTCCAATGTGTTAGTAGATATAATAAATGATATTCTTACATTCTCTTAACAAAAATATAACAAATATTTACACTCAGTAAAAATACAAAAGCATACAGAGGCACTGTCTTTCTAAAAGACGTAAGTTTAAGAGGTATAAAAACCAGGAGACAGACATCGCTTGTTCCAGGACACCTTAGTCACTGGATTGTGCAGAACTGTTACTTGATTCTAACAACTGTGCAATTTTGCTTTTGTCTTTTGTTGATAAGCTCACATTTCAATTTTAAAACATCAAGTTCAATTGCATTCTATATATTAAAAATAAAGAAGCCTTTAAAAACATAAACACTAAAGATGGGCTGGGGCTCAAGTTTCAACTTGAAAGGGAATGGTGGCTCTTCTGAAGGCTGACCCCTTTACTGGTGCTGGAGGGATAGACAATGTTTCCTAGAAGCTTCTCTATCTAAATGAGCATGGTTTTAGACATAAGGAAATGTTCTCTCCTTTGTCTTTTCTTCATAAAAGGAAACCCTCTTGATTACTGCACAGAGCCAGCCTGGGGAGCACATGGAGGTCAGGCCCTGGCCCCTCATGAACAGTCACTAGAGGGTCCTCTCAAAAGACCATCTTGAAAGTCATCATTTAGAGGCAACAAGGGTCTATAGACTGCAATGCTGAAGCAAGGGCTGGACTCGTTCATCTCCAAATTGGTCGTTATGAAGAGATTCTGTTGGAATGAACTGTTTGGCAAAGTTTGCACTAAGGGTTTCCTGTCTTGACAGTGTGGGATGCTGGGCTGTGGTAGGATAGGAAGGAGTCTCCAGTAACGACACATATCTGGAATTGGAGCGAGGATGGGCTTAAGGCTTCCCTTGTTTAAAATAGGAAAAGGCAGAGATACCTGTTCAGGGAGTCATTCTGATCAATGTGATCAGCGGGTCCAAACACATTAAAGCTTGATACAAAAAAAGCAGCTACATGGTGCAAGTCCACAGCCACAGACTCAGCTTTCTGTGCAAGACATTTACACCATTAAGGACAAGGACAGGTAAGGCTCCATCTAGTTTGAAGACTTGCTAGATGAACAGAGGCTGTGTCAACAGCACATTTTTCTGGAGAAATGGATGTGAAGCGTGACAATAAATACCCAAACTCGGATTGAAAAGGTGGTTATAGCAAAAATATCTTTCATTTGTTTTGTTGCGGACATGAAAACAATATTATGCAAGTAGGTGAAGTAAAAAAATTCACAATTGGAGGAGAGCACAGTTCATAGGCCGAATCACTAAAGTGCCCCTTTCCGTCCACGGCTCCACTTTAAAGGAGAGCCGTGGAGCCTCCTCCTGCACCCTAATGCACTGGGCCCACGTCCGAAGCTCTGGGTTTGTCAACCTTTCCCTAGGGGAATTTTTCAGGCATATTCTTTTTCTTTACTTTCTTTTTTATGGAGACAGGGTCTCCCTGTAGCCCCAGCTGGCCTGGAACTCACATCCACTTGCCTACGCCTCCCGAGTGCTGAGATTAAAGGTGTGCACCACCACATGCTGTTTCCCTAAACTACAGAGACAATCATTTTGTGGGAAAAAGAAATTACTCCCACCTACCATTTGGAACTGTTTTGTGACTTGAAGTGGGACAGACAGGAAACAGAGGAAGAGAGTGCCAGGGAAGAGCATAACCCTTGTGAGGGACCCCTGTCAGCTCACCCACCTGGCTCATGCTGATCTGGCCAGTGCACTTTAATGGCTTTGGCATTTTTTTTTTTTTGGTAATTATGTAAGTTTATGAAATATTTACCTTTACACTAAAAAGCAAATGAAAAATTTAAACTAAATATATATACAAAATGTAATACTTAATTTGTAAAAATGTTAAAGGTCCACTTTATTTACTAAGTAGTCACTGAGATCTGAATTAGATAAATTAAGAACACCGCCCCAGGAGGTGTGGAGGGCTCTCCTCCCCAGGGCAGAAGTCACTTCATTATTCTAACGTGGCTCTCTCACTGGGTTTTCACCAGCTCCGTCCCTTGTGGCTCCAGAGGGCTCAAAGCTCAGGGCTCATCAGGACTGCACATGCTGTACAACACTGCATGAAGCTGTGACCTTCACCACATTTGTGATTACACTGCTTTTAAACTTGGGATTTCATTCTTGAGTTGAGAAGTGTTAGGGTTTCTATCGAAGTGGAACTCTCTAGAACCCACTTTACTCTCCATTGGGTTTGCACTTCTCACCAGTTGGATGAAGCACGCTATTCACCTCAGAAACAGGCTTTCCACATTAATCTTTCCTTCTCTGGTTATCACGGTTCCTTCCCACCCACTCACCTTCTACTCGCCTTTCCAAACCTGTCAGGAACCCTGCGGCTGTCTCATTTCATACCATGATGGGCAGGTTCCTCACACTCCAAACACACGGGCTCGGAGCTTCCCTAACCCGAGACCCTCCATTGCACAGGAGCTGGACCTCTGGACCAATCAAGCATCACCTGTGTCAAGATGGCGTCTGTTGGTCAGACCAGACAGTTTTATGGCCTCTGACAAACAGCAGCTAGCAAGAGCTCTTTGAATACAAACAAAACCACAATACTTCAAAGAATAAGTTACTTTCAAACACACAAAACCATCACTGGTATTGGCAGATGTTTTGAATTTGTCCTTTACCTCAAGCTACAGCTTGGAAAGATAGTACCACTATCTTTAAAATATGCTGCAGAAAGAATGAATCTAGAGTCATACATATGGGATGACTCTGAGCTTGAACGGTCCCAAGGCAGGTGTGGTGTGCAAAGAGTACACTGGGATCAGGCGCAGCTTCCAGCTGAGGGAACTGGGCATCTGCGGGGATCAAACGAAAGGAAGCAAAACTGGCGATGAACTCATCTTAGAGCAGGCGAGGAAACCTCCAGGTTAGTGGTAGCAGCGAGCTGTAGGCTGTGGCCTGCAGAACCACGAGAGGCTCCTGTCCAAGCTTCCTACCTCCAGGGTTTCCAATGGGCCATCACAAGCTAGACTGCCGACACCTGCTCATTTTCTGAAAATAACAGATACAACGAACTGGTAGATCAGTCTGGTAATGTTGATTAATAACCAACAGGTTATCCACCACACTAGAAAATCTATAATCTCTACAGAGAAATCTTGTCAGACATCTCACCAAGGCCACGGCTTCGTTGTAACACCTGATTACTGATCACACAGAGGGCTCAGAGGGCTGGTAGGAAACCCGAGATTAAGAGTAAATAAATGAACTGGAGAGCTGGCTCAGTGGTTAAAAGCACTGGTTGCTCTAGCAGAGGACCCAAGTTTGGGTCCCAGATAGGAAACCCGAGATTAAAAGTAAATAAATGAACTGGAGAGCTGGCTCGGTGGTTAAAAGCACTGGTTGCTCTAGCAGAGGACCCAAGTTTGGGTCCCAGCATCTACATGGCAGTTAACTCTGTGTAACTCCACACTTCTGGGGATTGATCACCCTCTTCTGGCCTCTGTGGGCACTGCATGACACATGAGCACTTACACACCTGAAGGTAGAACACTCATAAACATAAAATAGACACAGGTTAAAACCTTATTTACTTTCTGTTTGTACACGCACATGCTACAGCCACACACATGCTATGGCACAGGCATGGAGGTCAGAGGATGACTTACAGGAGTCAGTTCTCTCCTTCAACTACATGGGTTCTGGAGATCAAACACAGGTCATCAGGCTTGGCAGCAAGTGCCTTCACCCACTGAGCCATCCTGTAGGCCCCTTGTAGCTTTTTTGAGGGTTATATGGATGGGGCAGTGATAAACCATGGACATGATACGTTTGCTTTATGTGGAGGTGAGGTTGGTACTGGATGTCCTCCTTTACCAGTCCCTACTGTACTCATGAGCCAGGGTCTCAGTGAACCTGGAGCTCACTGACATAGCTGGTCTGGCTAGACAGCTTGCCCTGCGGACCCCAGTCACCTCTCAGGTGCTGGGGACCTGAGGTTTGCTCCTCATGCGTGCACAGCAATGTCTCACTCACTGAGACAGCCCTGCGCGCCCCCCCCCCCCTGCTGTGCTTTTAAAAAAACATGTTACTTCCAGATGTGGTGGCACACGCCTTTAATCTCAGCACTTAGGAGGCATAGGCAGGCGGATCTCTGTGAGTTCAAGGCCAGCCTGGTCTACATAGTGAGTTCCAGGCCAGCTGGGGCTACTAGGAGACCCTGTCTCAAAAAAGACCTCCCCCCCAAAAAATATATATATAACTTCATTACTCTATTGTTGAGAAGATAAACACTTATTTTTTAACAAAGAAAGAAATTACTTCTCCAGCTCTTCCCACAGCTCCAAAGCCAGTCTAAAGTTTTGCTTCTCAGAGAAGTGAGGCCAACAGTGTTCTTCAGACAACTGCCTTTGGAGGATTTTCATGGGTCTTTATTATAAAGCTTAGCTCTGCTGATGTCAAGTGCCTCCTCTCAAAACTCTCAGAAGAAACTGCTAGCTTGTCAGAGATAAGTTGGCATCAGTACAACGGGCACACAGAAACGAGCAACTTGGCCTGTTTATAAAACACTCCATCATACTGATTTATTATTTTAAAATTGTGTTTATTAATTTAAAATTGTATGAGTGGCTGTATGCCATGTGGGCCTGGGTGTCACAGTGTGCCTCTGGAAGTCAGAGGGGAACTTATGGAAGTGGTTCTCTCTTTAAGTGGGGGTTTGGGAAATTTAATTCAGGTCATCAGGCTTGCATAGCAAGCACCTTTACCCACTGAGCCATCTTGAGGGCCCTAAAGAATACAAATACAATCATGGATCTCTTTGGCAGCGCTGGGGACTGAAACTAGGGCTGTGAGCATGCTAGTAAAGAGCTCTACAATGGAGGTAGATCCCTAGCCCCTATTTCTTTTTGGAGACAGGGTCTCCCTGTAGCCCCAGCTAATCTGGAACTTGCTAATGTAGACCAGGCTGGCCTTGATCTCACAGAGATCCACCTGCCTCTGCTTCCTGAGTGCTGAACTAAAGGCATGTGCCACCATGCCCGGCTTTGAAAAAGAATTTTTTTTTGGATTTATTTTTATTCTATGTGTTTTAGTGTTTTGCATCCACGTGTACAATATCAGCAGAGGCCAGGAGAGGGCGTCATATCTCCTGGAACTGAAGTTAAAGATGGGTGTTAGCTGCCACGTGAGCATAAGGAACTGAACCTGGGTCCTCTACAGGAGCAGCCAGTGCTCTTAACTACTGAGCCATCTCTCTAGCACCACCCCCCGCCCCTTTTACCAGAAAATTCAAATACATTTAAAAACATTTCAAATTATCACAAAACATCAGCATAGCGACTCAGGAATACTCTTGTAATCCACTTAACCACTGAAACAGCTTGTCAACATACCATCTGCTTCGCTATCTGCATCAGCCACATCAGTTAGTTTGGGATGGGACGACTGCAGGCTATGCCTGTGGGGCTGGGATCCGATCTTCGGTGGAACCCAGGCCGTGGGGTGGCTACTGGGAGGAGCTGGTGGCAGTCTAGGCAGGCTGCTAAACATCATCTTTGACCTCTGCACAGCCACACTATAGTCTGGAGGTTTTAGATGCGGGTGGGATCCTTCCTTTAGGTCCGCTAAAGAGATTCCCAGATATCCAGGAGGAGTAGGTGGTGGCTCCCTATACCTATCGCCTTTCTTGGGTGAGGTGACACAGTACACTGGTGTGAAAAAATAAGCAGTGGAAATGTTAATGGAAAAACAGAAGAAACAACAACAAAAACCCGAAACAAATCTATACTGAAACATTACGATGGAAAAAATAGAACTTAAAAACGACTTAAAAATGAATAATTTAAAATATAACAACAAACTAAAAATGTTAAGATCCAAACCCATTTTTTAAAATAATATACAAACAGCTACATTCAGCTTTGACATTAAGCAGGATGAGACAGGGCAGGGGCACCAAGTTCCTTCTGCAGCTCAGCCCTCACATTAGCCTCAGGCTAATGACCACTGAGTAGAAGCTGCACTTAAATGCTTAACCTGTGAGTTCTCACAGCAGTGACACTAGGGTCATGGGGCTGCTAGGGGCTGCAAACGCCTGAAAGCTGCCAGCATGGTCTCCCCGCACTCACACTCTCTGCCCAGGGATTGCCAAATTTCCATGGACAAGGGTCTTACTTCTCAAAGAAAGGAACTGTAACTTCAGGAAGGTGAGACTGAGAGTTAACAGTAACTTTAAATCATTTTTGCTGAACGTACAGCTCCTGGGACCAGGGTAAAGCTTCAAAAAGCATGAGAAACGGGATGAGAAGCCAACCCACCCACAATCTGAACACCCTGACTATGCAGGTGACTTTAAAGATACTATTCTGCTCACAGGCAAGCGGAGAACATTGAAGGAACATTAGGTAAGTCTCACACCAACTCTCATCAGAGGATGCAGCAGTCTGTCTGACATGCAGTGCCATGTTGGGAGTGGGCAGGACAGAGAAGGCGGTGGGAAGGTCGTCAAGAGAAGACAAGAATGAAGAAGGATTTGTGATTTGCCCAGAGTCACCAAAAAAGCAAAGATTTTTAGCAATTAAGCCATGATGGTGAATTGATGGTCATTTCGCATAACAGAAAAGCAGGGCTATTAAGTATTCATGTAATTCAAGAAACTAACAAAGTACTTACTGGATAAATACACTAACCGCCAAGCTAACACCTGCTGAGGTGCCCCCACACTTGGGCTGTTTGTGCGGTGCTTGAGACTGAATATGCAGGGCCTTGTGAGTTGAGACATGCTCTGTCACTAAGCCTGCTCTGGACTTGAGCTCTCTCTACTACAAGAAGTGTCAATGTTTCTATCATGCACACACACAACTGTGGCCCAAACAAAAGAGAATAAGCTTCTCACTACTGCATCATCACTCAGTGACGCCGGGACACGCCATGCAACACAAGGCTGTCCCCTGACTATACCCCTTCCTCTGATGGCACTCCTTTTAATTTCAATGGACTGAATGTCTCCGAAGCTTTGGAGAAGTATCTTATTGTGGCTTTACCTGTACACCTGTGATGTTTCATTGATAGTCAATGTTTTCTATATTTATTTGACAGCTACATGCCTGTTAATCCCTACTGACATCTCCCTTTTAAATTTTATTTGTCAATAAAAAGACATGTATGACAGGAAAAAAAAATAGCCCTGGACAAGTCATGAATTTAGGGGATATAATCTGTGGAAGGAAAAAGCATGTTAAGGGGCCAGGGGCGTGGTGGCGCATGCTTTTAATCCCAGCACTCAGGAGGCAGAGGCAGGCGTAACTCTGTGAGTTCAAGGCCAGCTTGGTCTATACATAGTAAGTTCTAGGACATCCAGGACAGCCTGGGCTACAGGGAGACCCTGTCTCAGAAAGACCCCCACCCCCCCAAAAAAACCATGTTAAGTGAGAGAAAGAATTTTTCTAATAAAATCCTGTCAAGATATCCCAATGCCCCTTTACAGAGGGCAAAGATAAGACATGTATAATCCCTAAACATCATGCTATGAAAAAGCCAGCATACTTACCAATCAAGCCCTTTTCTGTACTGGAAGTGACGGTTTTATAAATGGGGTCAGTGGCATCCCTGGGTTCCAAGCCATCAGATGCCTCAGTGGGGGCACTCTCCAGCACTCTCCGTTTAACTGTCCCATAGTTTGGTTCGTATGTGTCGGAGAGGGAGCTGGAGGAGGCCCAACTCTGTCTCAGCTGACTCGTCTCCAGGTCTCCTCTGCATTGGCCACACGTTCTTGAGCAGCCTTTAGAACAGGCACAGGGCTCACAGTCAGCAAGCTCAACCTCAGCAATGGGGTCATCCAAATGCGTGTGCCTATAAGAGTTCAGAAAGTCCCAGCCTTTCGGGTTTGGAAGGCTCTGGAAGTTGTCATGGGAGCTGCTGGAACAGGAAGTCCAACTGCCTCGACCACTGTCAGCTGCTTCCATCACAATGTGCTCATGAGAAGTCTCTTCACTGCTCACAGAAGACGGGACAGCTAACCCTCTGATAAGAGCTGGCTTTGCCAGCGCCCACCTACAAACAGATTCACAAGAGTAATGTGGTGGCTTCCTGGAGACTTCTCTCCAACACCTGCATTATCACAAGACACTACAGGGCACACGGAGTTAAAAACACACTGAAGAAACTCCAGTGTTTAGTTAGGCAGCTTCCTTAAAAATTTTTTTAGCTGACTTTAAATAAAAATACAAAGAGAATGAAATGAAGCCAATTAAGTAAATCTGCGTCTACAAGCAGAAATAAGAACTTCCAGCTTTAGGGGCTAGAGAGATGGCTCTGTGCTTAAGATCACTGGCTGCTCTTGCAGAGGACCTAGTTTCAGTTCCCAGGACCGACATGGTGCCTAACAACCATCTGTAACTCCAGTTCTGAAGGATCTGACACCTTCTTCTGACCGCTGCAGGTATTGCATGACACGGGTCCATTTACATGCATGCAGACAAAATACTCATACACATAAAAGGAATTTTTAACTTAGGAACCATACTGTATCTTGTCACATACAAGAGGTTAGCCTAGTACCATGCCAATTAAACAGCAACTTCCCAAACTGCCTTCTGCACAGGTCCTAACACTTACAGCAGGGGTTCCCAAACTCAGGCCACATGCTACTCAACAGTCTATTTCTGTACAGTCTGGAGCAAACAATGGTTTTTACATTTTAAAAGGTTCCAGGCTTATCCCACCTGTAGTCTACAGACTGCATGCAGGCACAGATAACTATCAACATGGCCCAACATAAAATCTATAAACTTAAAATATTGTGGGACTCATTCTTTTTTTGTTTTTTTGAAACTGGACCGATTATGCAGTTCTCAAATGTGAAGACAACAGTCTCAATGTCAAAAGACTGCATGCCACAAACCCAAAACACCTCAAAGAACTTGTGGCAGAGATTACACACACCTAGTCTGAGATACTATCTAGCAGATACTAGCCCTTTACCAGGAAAGACTGTGAACCTCTCACATCGCAGAGTGGAGACTGGTGAAGGCCTGTTTATGCAGACAATGCTTTTGTTCACCTGTATGCACAGCTGCTTTGGTATAACAAAGGGAATGGAGTTGTCATGGAGACATTAAGACTGAGAAACCCCAAGCCAGGCGTGGTGAAGCATGTCTGTAGGCTCAGCACTTGGGAGGCAGAGGGAGGCAGATCTCTCTGAGTTTGAATTCCAGACCAGCTGGGACTCACAAAAAAAAACAACAACCCCGGAACCCCCCCCCCAAAACCAATCAAACAACAACAACAACAAAAACACCCAAACTGGGAAACCTCAAGTCAAGTCCTCACTGTGGAACTGGAATTCCCTGTGTAGACCAGGCTGGCTTCAATCTCACAGAGATCTGCCTGTTTCAACCTCCCGAGTGTTGGGATTAAAGGCATGCAGTGCCACACTAGGTCCACTGTGAACTTTTACAGGAAAACCTTACGACTTCTAATATACAGAAGGCTAGTTTAGAAGTCGTTACAAATATAACATCACATATATGTAAAGTACAACAGATTTACCAATATCAGAATCTATTTTCAATTCTCAAAAACTTCCATTGTAGTTGATTCTGAACAGAAATTTTCTTTTTTAAATTGCTTTTTTTGTATGTGTGATTTTGACACAATAGTTTGATGGTATTTAGGTTGCTGCCCCTATCTGCACCCCTCACCTCTCTTTTTTTGAGACAAGATCTCACTATGTAACCCAGGCTGCTTTGAGCTTGTGATCTTCCTGTCTCAGCCTTCCAAGTGCTGGGACTACAGGTGTGTTCAACCATGTTTAGCTGTTAGCAGCCAGGGACCATCTCTCCAATATCAACAGTAGGCACACACAGAGGTCTTAGTGATTGATGAGATACATAATGACAGACAGTAATTTGAATAAAGGGAATTCAGAAACATTTTAAAAACGGGCATCCTTTAAATGGAATGCATTTTCCTATTTGGTATATGCAGCTTGTGTGTGGCCTCATGTTACTGAATACACGGAATACCTGGTAAGTAACCCACCCGGGATGGGTGAAGTCAGGTTGGGAGTGCTGTACTCTGGTTCTGAGATAAAACACAGACAAGGATGTTTACCCGTGACCGAGGTGACTGTGGTCTCCAGCCCCTGAAGGGTGATCTGTTTTCTCTACCGTCCCCACAGGCTCTGGAGCTGCCAGGGTGTGGGCAGAACATCGCTCATCCGGCAGAGCTGCAGACATGGAGTCAACAGAACAGTTGCTCACGATGCTGGACCGAGAGGAAATCTCGCTGTGGCTGGAGTCAGACAAGTTGTCAGATTTAGCTGACGGAATGAATGTGTAACCTGAATGAGAAAAGAACCTTGATCAAACTTTAAAGATGGGCAGCAGCAGGGGGAGGTCAAGAGAAAATGAAGACAAGAGATAGACGAACAGCTTTGCAATCTTCATCTACAAGGACCCAAGGGTACCAAGTTTCTGTGCACCGCCCTCTACGCAGCCATTCATCTACCATGTATATCACAGCAATATAGCACCACACTGGAGGAGAAAGAAGAAGTCCGGCATTACCAAGAACATTTATTCAAAGGTGTCTGCCCAACTCACATACCTTCAAGTATTTAAGAAAAACAAGGAAGCACTAAACATGTCATAAATATGAACAAGCACACACGGTCCAGTTTCTCAGCCTTTCTTTAACTCTATGTCCCCTCCTTTGAAGGACATAAACATTATCATGGCACAACCTGTTGTAGGTGTAGAGATGGGAGGCAGGACTCAAAGGGAAGAACTGTTCTGATATGCTGCTCATTCTACCTAAGTCTTGCCCCAAATCGAGGGTCACTATTTGAATATTTTCAATTAATTACTAATTAACTGACCAATTATTTCTGTGATGCCAAGAATGGAACTCAGTACCCTGTTGAGGCTAGGTACTGAGTAGTACTAGTGAGCCAGAGCCCCAGTCCTGTTCAGTGTGTGTGTGTGTGTGCCACATAGTACATGTGTGTGCATAATATACACCGCTCTCCACCTTACTCACAAACTGGCAAGGCTGGCTGGCCAGGGAGCTTCCGGGGACAACACCCTCAACACCCTCCCAAACCACCCAGTGCTGGGGACTGAACAGAGCCACTTTCCTAGTCCTGTTGCCCCAGTATTTTAAACAAATTATTTGAGATTTGGACATGATTATCTTTGTAAGAATATTAAATGGTGGACAGATTAGGATGTTTGATGAAAACAGCACCCACGTAGTCTGCACTCTTTTACGGGCTACTGTATAGAGGACGGCTTACAGCAGTTGTCTCTATTTTGGACAGTCATGGGGGTGGAGACAGAGAGGTGGAAACATCTCAAACGCAGTCTTCATTTTGATGGCTAATGGTATGTTAATGTTCTGTTTTGATAATTAGAAGAAATAATACTCTTGTTTAGAAACAAAGGAAAGCAACATAGCAATCCCAACAAGGGTAGATTTTTAAGAAGCAACAGTACCTTCTTATTCACAGAGGAGAGTGAGGTTCAAATGACTTTGGATCAATCCCCAGAAACTGCACCAAAAAGAAATGGAGGCTCTGGCATGCTACTGGATCCTCAGGGTGTCAGTGTCCTCACACACAAAGAAGATAGCAAGTCTCGTGCCAAGGTCCTTTTCTGCTTTAAGGGTCTTGGCATACATGACTCAAATCATTCAAGAAAAAAATGGGTGCACAATAACCTTTTCAAGAGGTATCATTATTTTAAAGAGGAAAAATTAAGATTCAGAAAATATGTATTTACACTTGGGCTTATGGGGCCAAGAATCTGGTGAGCCAAGACAAGCCAGGGTTTCTGACTTCTGAAGCACGTATCTCAGAGCCTCACAACACCCCCTTTTTCTTGTCTTTTTGAGACAGGGTCTCCCTGTAGCCCCTGCTGGTCTAGAACTTGCTATGTAGCCCAGGCTGGCCTCCATCTCACAGAGATCCACCTGCCTCTACCTCGAAAGTGCTGGGATTAATGGCACATGCCACCACGCCTGGCCAGCACTGCCTTTTCAATGTATTGAGCAGACTTACTTCACTGTTTTGAAATTTTATACTTATGTTTGTTAGATCACAATTTCCCAAATGAAATTCTAAGAATCACCTGGAGCACTTCTTAAATGATACATTATACATTACATGTCTGGGGTGGGACACAGAAATTTTCAGATGACTGAACCTGTGAGGGGTGGTGGTTGTCCCAGAGGCATGTGGAGAGCGGATGAGACAACAGAGTAGAGGAAGAGGTTTTTTTCTCACCTCACACACAGTGTTGCCTATGAGCTTATAGACAGTTGGGGTACAAAAGATGGCAGTTAGATTCTAAGGCCAAGTTTGGAGACAAGATTGTGATTGGGGCTTTCATGTGAAAGTGAACACTGGTTCCTAAGATGGTTCCTGAGTTCACTCAGACTCAGCTGCTACCAGCAGAAAATAATTACTAAGAAAAGTGACAGAAAACAAGTGGACAAAGTTTACTAACTCAACACAGTAGTAAGATAACATATATACAGGTGAGGCACATTAAGTCAATATTTCTTTGATGCTAAAGCCTGTAACACTAACCATAAAATGCTTAATGTTTACTGCATTGTCTGCTCAACCTCTGACAAATGGCTCAATTCCAGCTACATTTACATTAATAAAACAGACTTAACACTAAAATTAAATAAGGAACTTTTCAGAGTGTCTTTTTCCTTTTCGGCTTGAAGCGTGCACAGAAGCAGCCTAGCGCGTTACTGTGGCCTTGGCTATTTGACTTGCAGATGGCACTCCCTTCCTCATCTGTGATGCTGCTTCCAACACCCTTCACATTCTCACAGCTGTCTGTAGCTTGATTGCGATCTGTGTCCTCTTTTTGGCCGTTGACTAGTCTCTCCCTTGATAGAGTTCTTTCCCTACATCTTCTAAACGGGGACGTCATTCTTTTTCTGGTTGTGTTCTCACAACTTGTCCTGTCTCTAGTCTCCTCAGTGGACTTCTTGGTCCTGTCTGTCCTTTTGGCTGTGTTCCCAGTAATCTGAAGGATTTTCTTTTGCAAGTAAACCCCACCTATTCCGGGGCAGCTCTGGCCACTGATGGTGGTGCTGGGCTCACGGGGAGGGGATGAGGAAGACCCTGAGAGGCGCAGCAGGACGCTGTGATCAGATAGGATACTGCCAACTAGAGGGAGAGATGCAAAAACCCTGACATGGTCAATCAATTCTTTCCAATCAGTCACAATTAGCTTGGTTTATATAACATTTCACTACTTTAAAACTTTATCATCCTGACAATATCTGAAGAATTGAATTCGAGCAACTTTTTTTTTTTTTGGTCTTTTTGAGACAAGGTCCCCCTGTAGCCCCAGCTGTCCTGGAACTCACTATGTAGACCAGGCTGGCCTTGAACTCACAGAGATCCACCTGCCTCTGCCTCCCAAGTGCTGGGATTAAAGGCATGCGCCACCACACCCGGCCTCTCTAACAGTTTTTTTAAATGCATAGAAAAACTACTACATAGCTACTATACAGCATAAACACACCTGTTACTGAAGGATAGCACACAGGACAGTCATTACCTTGATAAAAACAAGCTGATGATGAAATAAAAATACTGAAAGCAAGCCACATTGGTAAAATCTTAAAACAACGAGAAATATTGTGAACCTATAGTTTTCAGGTAGATTCAGTATGAAATAGCTCAGTAAAAACAAAACAGGGCATGCACACACAGTATATATGTAAGAGGTGCCTTTATAGAGTCATTTCTGATGCTATTCGGACTCTGTGCTGGATAGCTTTGGTGTCAACTTGACACACTGGGTTGAGGGAGCCTCAACTGGGGAATTGCCTTCATTGGACTGGCCTGTGGCCATGTCCATGGGGCGCCTTCTTGATTGCTGAGTGATGTGGGAGGGCCCGGCCCACTGTAGGTGGTGCCACCCCTGGGCAGGCGGGCCTGTGTTGCATAAGAAAGCAGGCTGAGCAGGGGCCAGGGGAGCAAGACAGTAAGCAGCATTCCTCCATGGCCTGCATTCCAGCTCGTGACTCCAGGTTCCTGCCCCGGGTTCCTACCTTGGGCTCCCTGATGAACTGTGACCTGGGAGATGTAACCTAAATAAACCCTTTCCTCCCCAATTTGGTAGTGGTCAGAGCGTTTTTTCACAGCAGTGGAGAAACAAACTAAGACTCCAAGGTGGAAGCACTCATTTACTTATTTAATTTTTGACACAGGGTCTCCCTGTAGTCGCAGGTGGCCTGGAACTCTCTACATAGACCAAGCTGGTCTCAATCTCACAGAGAGCCTCTTGCTGAGTGCTGGGAGTAAAGGTGTGTGCCACCACACCTGGCTATTCTCAAGGTTTTTTGACACCTCCCCAGAACAGTGTGTATCTGTGTGTGTGCTGGTGTACCTGTATGCATGTGTGTACCCAGGGTCTCTGATTAGGATATGGGGCTCACTGATTAAAGTAGACTGGCTAAGGAGTGAGCCCCAGGGATCTGTCTCTCCCAAAGTCCCCATTACTAGATCACAAGCATGTCAGCACGCTTGCACCTGACGGTGGGACCCAGGTTCTACTTGCACAGGGAGTGCTTTACTGGCTGGACCTTGTCCCAGTTTGTAACCTCTCTCTCCCCCTCTCTTTTTTTGGTCTTTTTGAGACACGGTCTCCCTGTAGGCCCAGTTGGCCTGGGACTCATAGAGATCCACCTGCCCTGCCTCCAGAGTGCTGGGATTAAAGGCGTGTACTACCACGCCCAGCTAACTTCCCTTTTTAAAAGCTCTTGTTTAAATTTTCCTTATGAAACCCATGAAATAAGCTTACTATGTTAGTGATAAGAATACAACTAATCCCAAAGTTTAGCAAGAACTGAGAACAGACCCAAATACAGTACTTTTAGTTGAATACTTTTTGTTCACCTGCAGGCTACAATCACAAACCTGCTTATGGATAGTACTGTGGAGTACTGTAGTTGGGGCTGGGTATTCTTTCTTTCTTTCTTTTTTGGTAGGGTCTCACTATGCAGTTCCAAGGGATCCCAAACATGCTTCATAATCTAGGCTGGAACTTGCGGTCCTGTCTCAGCCTGTTGATTGCTGGCATTATAGGTATGTACCACTACACCTGGCTGTCAGGTGGGGTCTTGATTATATATATCAAATAATCTGAAACAATTACAAAGAAAATTCTTCAAGCTTCTAAGGGTTCTAAATGTAACTGTGACAGGCCCACATACATATAAATATCATAGTCTCTGTCAGATATGTATTAAAACACAGCAGAGAAAATCTCGCTCTACTGCAGTGTTAAGAGTGTTGGGAACAGGGGCTGGAGAGATGGCTCAGCAGTTAGAGCACTGACTGCTCTTGCAGAGGACCCAGGTTGACTCCCAGCACCCACATGGCAACTAGGAACCATCCTTAACTCCAGTTCCAGGGGAATCCGAAGCCCTCTTCTGACCTCCACGGCACTGCACAACACAGGGTGCACTCACATACATGCAGGCAATACACTCGTACACATAAAATAAAAATAACAAATAAAATATTAAAAAAAAAAAGGGTGCTTGGACCACCTTCCTGACTAGAGGCCTGGCTGCCAGGCCCACCTAAGAAGAATAAGGGCACTCGGGATTGTACTGCCAAAGGAGACATAGGTCTATGTGCCTGGAAAAGTCTAATAATCTCCAACAGTACCAGAACTGCTTTAAAAGTACACCTGCAATGCACACACTGTCCTATTTGATTTTCACAAAGCATTCCTTAGCAAAATCTTAGCTATGCAAGGGTGGAAAGGGCCAGTGAACAAGGGAGCTCTACTGCCCTGGGGTGATGGTAGGGAGAGGAAGACACCAGAATGTGCTACCACTTACCATGTATCAGAAATATCCTTTCATGTAAGCTGTATACATGGGCCCTAAGATAGATGGCCTTTCCTCTATCTTAGAGAGGAACCCTGACCTTATAAAAGTTTTCTACATTAACATAGAAATCACAGGGGACAGAGTAGGGCTCAAACTCAGATGTGACATCACTGCAACATAGCAGGCAAAAATGAGTCCTGAAGAGTGAATTTAAAACAAGAGCTGAGCGAGCTCTGGAAGCTCCTCCCTCCAGCTAGAATTAATGACTCATCTCCTCTGACCAGGTAACCACCTCTTTGAAGAAGGTGCCAGGACTAGGGAAGCCCTTTTCTCCAGGGTAAGAAACTCACATTTCAGTCAGCAAGTCTGACCTGAGTCAACATGAAGTAGCATCTCCCTGCACACTGTCCAGGCAGGCCAAGAAAAGCTTCTGTCTGACCTAAGAAAATGCATGTAAAAGGACAAGGTTTCTGATTTCTCAAAGTTTTGTGTACCTGTAAAAGTTCCACAAACGTACGTATTAGAGTCAAACTAGTTCAGATTCCCATAAATAACCAAGAAATACTGTTATAAAAAACAAAAAGAAAACTTAAGTATTTGTTTCTTTTCCTATATTTTGTAGCTGGTCAAAAATCTTTCTTTGAGGGGGCTGGAGAGATGGCTCAGTAGTTAAAAACATTGGCTGCTCTTGCACAGGACTGGGGTTCGGTTCCCAGCACCCACATGGTGGCTAACAACTGTCCCTGAGGCCATCCTCCGGTCTCCATGGGTATTACATGCACAGAGTACACGAGAACTGGCACAGATCAAAACAACTGTGCTTTTACCATCGTTTCATTTTTTTAAATTAAAAGCAATTTTTAATTTATGTGTATGAGTGTTATGTCTGCATGTATGTAAGTGCACCTGTGTCATGCAATGCCCACAGAGGACAGAAGAGGGCGTTGGATCCCCTGGAACTGGAGTTACTGCCATGTGGGTACTGGATATCATCAGACCTGGGTCCTCTGCAAGAACAGCCAGTGCTCTTAACCACTAAGCCATCTCTCTCTCTCTCTCTTTTTTTTTTTTTGGTCTTTTTGAGACAGGGTTTCTCTGTAGCTCCAGCTGACCTGGAAATCACTATGTAGACCAGGCTGGCCTTGAACTCATAGAGATCCATCTGCCTCTGCGTCCAGAGTACTGGGATTAAAGGTGTGCACCACCAATGCCTGGCTCCCTTTATATATTTTTTAAAAGATCTATTTATTTTTATACGTATGAATGTTTTGTATGCATGTAAGTGCACCACATGTGTGCAGTGCCCTGAGCAGCCAGAAGAGGGCGTCAGATCATCTGGAACTGGAGTTATAGCTGGTTATGGGCTGCCATGTGAGTTCTGGGAATCAGACCTGGGTATCTTCTGCAAGAGTGCTCTTACCACTGAGCCATCTCTCCAGCTCCTACCCTACTTTCTATCCAAGCTCTTCTGTCCAGGAAGCTAAAGATGACACCTTGAATACCAGAGTCCTAGTTAGATGATGCACTGACACCTGAAAAGTAGTTAACGGTTCATCTGAAACATCAAATCCAAGAAGCAGGCCTTGCAGCCACACCTCCATGAGCAGTTTCTATTATCTGCTTACAGGCTGAAGAGCAAAGGAAGTGCTGAAAAGTGCTATTTGGTCTGAAAAGAACTGGCATGAATGAAATGTGCTGTCTTACCTTTGCGTGGGGAGCTCTGAGGAGATGCAGGAGGACTAGAATGCAAAGATGACGCCACAGAAATAGTGTCTTCTGTGTGTCTCTTACCACTCATTTCTTCAGATGGTCCTAAAGCTTTCTGAGGTAAAGTTGTATCTAAAAATAAAAATAAAAAAAGAAGCAAATCAGTTTTTTGGGGGGGGTCTTTGTGAGACAGGGTCTCCCTGTAGCCCCAGCTGTCCTGGAACTCACTATGCAGACCAGGCTGGCCTTGAACTCACAGAGATCCGCCTGCCTTTGCCTCCTGAGTGCTGGGATTAAAGGCGTGTGCCAGCACGCCCAGCTGCAAATCAATATTTTACAATTAAAATGCATGTAGTTGCCTAAATCAGCAGTAACGGAAGCCGTGACATACAATGGTTCTAGTGCAGTCAACTGAGATGTATAAACACAGACAGGGATTAAATAAGTAGGAAATAGCAAAACAGACTCTCATCTTTAGGTTCTTTATCCAAACTCGGGGGCCAGCACAGGTTATAATAATTTTCTTTGTGGCAGAGGGAAATCAATTTAACAATCTGAGTATAGTGCTCCACATTTCACAGTTATACACATTTACCATCTTGAGAAGACCCAGGTTTCAGACTTGGCCCTTCTCTTTAGAGGTGGCCTCTTCGGTGAAGGTGAGGCCTGCCTGGCAGGGGCAGTGCAGGATGTTGGCACTGTCACTACCTGAAGTGCATCTGTGCTCTGAGTACACAGAGGAGGCTGCAGGGCTGCCAGGACAGCTCTTTTCAGGAGCACTAAGTTCACACTATAGAAGAAAAGTAAGCAATAAAAGAATCAAGAATTTATAGGAAAACAGTATGGTGCTCCCTGGAAACACTCTTTAAGTCCTATCATCGAATAGCAGCCTATATTTTCATAAAAAGCAACTTGACTCTTATAGCTTCTGGATGTTGCATCTGGATTAGGTATTTGATGAAGCCTTTGTATGGAGAAGTAGCTGAAGTGTGACACAAGATTTGGTGTAAATAACCAAGATGCACAGATTTTAGTAATGCAGAAATTCCATTAGCATTTAAAATAGGCATGCTGTCATCAAATATGTGGAAGCAAAATGAAACGTTTTTTGGCTCATGAAGTAATGACATTACCCAACCTACAACAAGTTATCTTCTGAGCACTTGTCAATGACAATACCAATTTTGAAAACGCCAATGAAATGAAGATGAGCTATGAGCACTCACTCAACAGAGGGTCTTTTGCTGGTCCTTTCTTCCTGGCAGGGTGCAAGTTAACTGCAGGCACCTGAAGTACCTGGCTCACCCTGTGCGGCTGATGCAGGTAGACTTTAGCTGTGTGGCCAACGGACCTCAAAGGTGCGGGAGACATTTCAGATGATTTGGCTGATCTTTTCTCATTTAAATTCTTAGTCACTAAGAGGAGAGAGAAGAATTAGGTAACTGAAATTTTTTTAAGGCAAGACTATTTCATCACCAACACGTACTTGTTTAAAAACCATGTTTATTTGGGGGAGAGGGAGGCTTCCTCGGAGGGTGGTAGAATGCAGAAGCTTGGTAGAAACCAAGCTACTGCAGCCTTCAAAGCCTCTTCTCTATACTGGCTAGCTTTCATAGTGCTGGAATGTGCTATGTATGCTAAGGGAAGAGAAAATTAACCAACAACTTTACCCAGCTATGAATTCTGGGAGCCACAACAAGTGGCCTGGCAAGTTAGACCCACTGACCCAATGGTGGCAAGAAAACTATGGTAGTAACCAACCATTTTCTAATTGGAATGAAAGTTTCTTTCGTAAGATACGGCCCATACCTGACTGGCACTGATATCAGGTCTAGGACCCTAGGACAGGTCACAGGTCATAGAGGAGAGCCTACTAGTATTGTTCTGCTAAACAGCATTCAACTGAAACCTAATGACTTACTGTTATACCCATAGATCAGGGCATTTCTTAACTCTCACTAGAGAAGCGTCCTTATGCAGCAGATGGTGATTAATAAGACCTCTTCAGAAAATAAGAGTACTTATCCCTGAGTAGGACACCTATATCAAACATCTACCTCCCAAGACTCAGGGATCATTGTGGAAAAGGAGGTGGAAAGACTGTAAGAGCCAAAAGTGGTGGATGACCACAGGGAAAGTTTTAGAGACAGCTGGGCAGTTACTCATATGAACTCACGGCAATGGTCACAGCATGCACAAGACCCACATAAGTTCAAGTCAGACAACATCTAAGCATGGATGTGGAGAGATGGGTAAGAAATCCCAGCCCTACCTGAGGAACAACTGATAACTCACAGCTGCTAGGAGGGGGAGAGCCGGCCTTGTGTAAGGGTTATATCCTTGATAGGACGTTGACCAAGATCCAGTAGATGGTCCCACACTGAAGGGCATTTGGGGACCTAAGTTTGACTCTATGGGCAAATATGTACATACATATATTATACATATATGATATAGAGTAAATAAATAATAAAGGAAACTGGGTGGAGTTAGGGGGGTACATATGGGGAGGGGGATCTAAACCCGACTGTATAATTATATCTGAAGTAAATTGTATAAAGTTTGCAAAAACCCAGTAAAACAAATAATGTATTTTATATAAAAAATAAGACTAATTTTTTTTGTGTGTGTCTTTTTGAGACAGGGTCTCCCTGTAGCCCCACCTGTCCTGGAACTCACTATGTAGACCAGGCTGGCCTCAAACTCACAAAGATTCACCTGCCTCTGCCTCCTAAGTGCTGGGATTAAAGGCGTGTACCACCACACCTGGCCTTAAAAATAAAACTAACTTTATACAAGGAGTTTATTTCTGAAACTGTTGTAGAATAAGCTGTTTGCTTCCTAAATAATTCTTGAAACCATTAACTATGTCTCTCTGCTGAAGGTCAAATTAATACTGCTGAAATACTGCTCTTACCTACTGACTCGAGTGCTTTAAGCCATTCTGCAGACAACAGCAGAGTAACCACCAACATGAAAGTCCAAATATCACCTTCCGTCTCTGTATGACCCCTCCCTGCTCTCAGGAAAAAGACTCAAATCTCTCCAGCAAGGCCCGCCTCCCTTATGTTCCCTCCCTTTCTTCAGCTACATACTCTGAAGTTTGTCGAGTCCCTTAGCCCTGGCTGGAGAATTCCCTCACATTACATGATTCTTGCCTCTTCTTTCAGATCCACTCGCCCATAAACTCTGGGGACCTTTCTCTAACACCCCACATTCTGCAATGGCTACACTGGCCAATCCTAACTAGAGAAAGAGAGAGAAAAAGCTGCTGCCCCTGCGTAACATCTACCCTGTGGGTCCAAATGGGGAAAGTCTCCCTCAGCCAGTCTGGTCCTTCCAGTCCTCAGGTGAGCTATTCGCTTGGCTTTTAAACCAAGCAAATATGCAAAGATTTCAGCAAAACAATAGATGCGTAATGGTGGCAGCACAGCTATGAATGGCCAGCAAGGAAGGCTCTTAGTTTAGAGCCTTAGTAAAAGTGGCAGAGGAACATCTACAAAGTCAGAATGGCTTGTCAATTAACGGAATTCATGGCATTACCACCTGCTGGTTAGAAATATCAAACATATTTCCCTCCTCTAAAACTAATTATAAGTGTATACACACACACACACACACACAATTTTTTTTCAGACAGTTCTCACTATGTAGTACAGGCCTCACACTCAGCACACAGACCTACACCACAATGCCAGGGTCCCTGAAAAAAATGGAAATAAGGAGGTCCCCAGGAAGTCACATGATGGGACTGAGAACAGACTGAACTGTCTTCCAGGGAATAGCTGGTCACCTCCCAGCTCTGGTAATGTAGTCACAGCTGAACCTACACATGTACATTTCCTGGTATGTGTTTGATTTTGTCTATAAATTCCAACACTGCTTCAGATAAGAAAAGCTAAGCACTTTTCTCAGTTCAGGCCAAAACTAAGTAAGACCATTGCTTTCACAGACTCCTGTCTCCAGATCTTTCAGTAAAATATCAAGCAATGAACCTATGACCAGAGCTACCACCATTTCTGGCCATGAATCAATTCTTGGCTTCACCGACATGTTAATTGCTACAATATAAAGAAAACAAAAACAAACCCTGACAGGGTTTCAACAAAAGAGTTCACATACCCAAGCTAGATGCTAGTTAGCAAGTACTTAGTTCCTTAACACTTAAAAAAAAAAAATTGATGTTTGGACTTTAAAGATTTAAAAAATCTATTATACATAAGAAAGCAAATAAGGACAAACCAAATTAAAGGGCTACTCATTCCATTATATTTTCAAGGCCAGTTTAGGACTGGATTTCTCACTACAAATGCATTACTTTGTGCTATGAGCAAAGACAGACACACCTGTATGGGAAGGATAGAAGTGAAGACATGGTACCCAACGTAAACAACCCTGCATCAGACAAACCACAGCTAATAAATCCACAGTCACTGCAAAAAAAGGAACACTGATAACAACTCAAAGCCGTGTCACAGGGCCTGAGACGAGTCAGGTACGCACTTGGCTTTTAACTTTAAAAACCTGTCTCTTATGTAACTTTCACACAGCTAATACTATTCTTATTTATTTTGATGTGTATGAGTGCTTTGCCTGATGTATGTAAAGGTACCACATGCATGCAGTGCCCAATGGAGGCCAGAAGAGGGCACAGGATCCCCTGGAGCTGGAGTTATGGATGGTTGTTAGCTGCTATGTGGGTGCTGGGAACCAAACCCAGGTCCTCTGCAAGAGCAGCCAGTGCTCTTAACCACTGAGCCATCTCTCCAGTCTCCAGCTAACACATTCTGTTCCTTTCCCTGAGCAAAAGCATTCAATACAGCTTATTTTTTTTCCCCTTTAAGACTGGACTTCTTCAGTAGCCCAGGCTGGCCTTGCCCTTGCTGCTCTCTTGCCTTAGCTTCATAAGCACTGTTAATTAGAGGAGTGGACCACCATGCCCAGCTCTTGATAATACTGCATTCATCGAATGGCTCCCCTTACCCAGCATTTTAAATTCAATGTGAAATCAGCATTTGTTCCTATGTCGACTTTCCCTTTTCTACTCAGCTGGCAGACATTTTCTGTTACTAAGGAAACATCACCTCACCTATCAATCTTTGGGTCAATTTGTGAGGACTACCATTTTCTTATGTCTGGAGCTTGTAACTTTACTGTGCTTTAAAAAATACTTTTATAGCTAGGCATGGTGGCACATGCCTTTAATCCCAGCACTCGGGAGGCAGAAGCAGGCGGATCTCTGTGAGTTCGAGGCCAACCTGGTCTACATAGCGAGTTCTAGGCCAGCTGGGGCTACAGGGAGACCCTGTCTCAAAAAACCAAAAAATTAAAAAAAAGTTTTATGAGTCACAGCCTGCACATAAAAATGCATGCATGTAGTGCCTATGGAGGCCAGAAGAGGATGATGGATCCCCTGGAACTGGAGTTATGGACAGTTGTTAGCTGCCATGTGGGTGCTGGGAACTGAACCTGGGTTCTCTGCAAGAGCAGCCAGGGCTTTGCTGAGCCATCTCTGCAGTCCCTCTTATGGGCACAGTATTTAACCCACAATTTAACTCAATCATTTTTTATTCACTTCTGTTCCTATAAACTCCTGGGTTTCTTAACCCACAGACATGTGTCCTATAGTCCATACTTAAGGGCAGCACTGGACAGAACTTGCTGAGCAGAACAACAGTGCTTGAGGTGAAGGATGAGGTGCCAGCAGTAAAAACAGAATTTCTTTTTTCACTTTATCTTACTGATACCTGTAGGACATTATCACCACTAGTGTTGTAATCACATCCTTATGCTTTCTAGTTGATGATTTTCATCCAGTACAGATGTCACTTTTCATTCAGGGATGGGAAGCAACAATGTTCTCAAACAGAATGTCTTCTCTATAGAATTTCAATTTTTATAAGATTTATAAAGCTTATAAAGGAAGTGCTGTTTAGCCCTCTATTTCCTGCAGTCATGTGGGCTGGGTAGGCCTCAGTGTCTGATGAACAGCATCCCATGCTGTGAATGAGGTGAACAAGGACTCTACTTGCTGAGCCTGTACTCACAGGTGCCGTACGCAGGCTCCCACTGTAGGGACACCACTTGGAACTTCTCCTCATCTGTGTCCACGTCCAGACTGGAAAGATACTGCTTCACCTTCCTTGTCATTTGGGCGTCCTCGTATAGTTTCTTGGCGTTCAGCAGGGAGCTGCGGCGGGCCCTCTTCTTGTGAACACCTCCCTGAACATCCAGCATGTTTGAGTTTGTGCTGCCTTGACTCAATGACCTGCAAGGGGATGGAAATCATAGTAAGAGCCTGGAAAGATGGGAATTAAGCACAGGAAATTGAAGATTCAAAGATTCTGCTCTGTTAATGCATGCTGATGTAAATGAGTTAAAAGATGAAGAGCATTAATGCAGAGTAATTTGGCACATGTGGCAATGCTCTGAATGAAGGACGAGATCTGGTAAAACGTGGAATTTGAGAGTAGGTGCCATTTCCTTCCTGAGCAACATGCTCCATCACACCTGTATGTATGCCTATGTAACCTATGGCACAACCATGCATTTCCTCTGGTCTTGCAGGCCATCTATACACTGAAGCTATGGCAGGGGTTCAGGGTTGGGGTAAGTTTGTCCTCAGTCAGATCTCTGCACCAAGCTCTTAACCAAGGGTGCTTCCATAGCAGCTGTGCTGTCTGTGCCACTTGGGACATGGGAGGATCAATGCTGACCAATTCTACTAATAAACCACATTTTGACCCAAAATTAGAGTAATAATAACCAAGATATCTGAAAAATAACATTTCAATTCAGTAGTGCTCAAGATCAGTTATGCAGAAAAAGTCGCTTAGGTTTCCACTCAGACAAGGCATAGTTAAGCATTACTTTTACCACCTGGATTGTAAGCACAGGCCAGAGACTCTCTTTTTGTAATGCCTCCAAACATGACAGAATTGTAAAATGGGTCTTAGAGATAAATACCACACAAATAAGCTACAGCTGTACCCAACTCTATACTCTTTTTTTGGGTCAGGTGTGCTTACACAATGTTGGTATCCAGTACCAATGAAAAGCACCAACTGCAGAAAAGCTGGTTCTAAAGGGGCAAGCAAATTCAAGGTTTTTAAATCATTATTTATATTTATTATTATTGTGTGTGCATGATGTGTCTAGGTGTGTTTTGGGAGCTGGAGAGGCTCAAGCATGTGGTAGTGAGGAGCTGGCTCTTGCCTTCTACCTGTATGTGGTCTTTAGGCTTGCATAGTAAGCACACCTTCACATCTGCTGAGCCATCTTACCAGCCCAGATGATTGCTATTTTGAAGGTAGGAGCATTTATATTTTTTGAATTAGCCTCCTGTTTACCAAAAATATTCTGAAATATAATCCATAAACACACAACATTTTCAGTGCTCATGCATCTAGTTTAACAACAAACACCGAATCTTAGTGTTTTCAACGTAAATCAAGTAAGACATAGTTGAAAAACTGATGGTATTTTTTTTCGGTCACATTCTTAAGACCTTTGAAATGGGGTTCTGCCCCCTCCCGTGCACCCACAGTCCCGCTCCTGGGTCAGCTCCACCGGCTCCGGGTCCTGATGCTGCGTGTGCAGAACTGGCATAAGGGCCAGCACCCAGCCTTGATTTTCTTTTTATTTAATAACCACATGTTTATAAGTTTCATTACTGGATTCTGGAGGCAGCACATTCCTCATGTGGGTATGTTACTACGACAGATTATCAAGTGACTCAGAAGGCAGCTACCTTTGAGTGGAGCCTGGAACAGGAAAGGGCCTTCAACAGGTCCAAGCTGCTGTACAAGCTGCTCTGCCCCTTGGGTCATATGATCCAGCAGACCTGATGGTGCTTGAGGTTTCAGTGGCAGATAAAGATGCTATTTGGCGTCTCTGGTGGGCCCCCATAGGGGAATCACAGCGGAGGCCATTGGGATTTTGGAGTAAGGCTTTGCCTTCATCTGCGGACAACTATTCTCCCTTTGAGAGACAGCTCTTAGCCTGCTATTGGGCCTTACTGGAAACTGAATGTTTGACAATGGGCTACCAAGTTACCATGCGGCTGGAGCTGCCCATCATGAGCTGGGTGTAATCTGACACCCCAAGCCATAAAGTAGGACGTGCACAGCAACAATCCATTATCAAATGGAAACGGTATATACATGATTGGGCCCGAGCAGACCCGGAGGGCACAAGCAAGTTACATGAAGAAGTTGCCCAAATGCCTATGGTTCCTACTCCTGTTACGATGCCTCCTGTTCTCAAGCATGCACCTATGGCTTCATGAGGTGTGCCCTATGATTGGTTGACTGAGGAAGAGAAGATTAGGGCTTGGTTTACAGATGGTTCTGCACGCTATGCAGGCACTACTCAGAAGTGGACAGCTGCAGCATT